TATTCCAGGAAACCAGACCACTTGTTGTTTATGTACAATTGGGAGTGTGTGACATTACACAGAAAGTTGGACAATACAGACATAAACACATAGAGCTGCGTTACAATAAAGTAGGTTCAGCAACTGCTCACATACTGGACCAATTTTAAAGACTCATTAAATTTGTAACTTCGAAACAAGGGTCATTAAAGTTCATTACCATTCCTGTATACTCAGCTCATGCAGGCATACAACTCCCATCTTGGTCATTGACATCCTGAATCTTTCCAAAGTACTGATAATCATATCAAAGAGGAGGTAACGCTACTCAATCGAATATTTGTGACTTGAATGACACATTAGGCAGAAATACTCTCCAGTTTCACTTGGATATTGTGAAGGTCAGGGGTGAGGGTAGACAATCCATTAATTTCCATCTCCTTAAGGACGGTATACATCCAGATCGTTTATTATCAAGGAAGTGGATACGACGACTAGAATTAGACATTGTCAAAGAGTGTTGGATTGACCCTACACCTGACGTGTTAACAGTTTCAGTGGACCCGTAGGAGTTGCTCAGCTTGTAAAGATGTCAAAAATCGAGGCTAGTCAGAAGGAAACAGCTGGACAGAAGACAGGTATCATGGGGGATCTGCAGGAAGACCATAACACATTAATGCCAGAAGTGGAAGAAAAGACCATTACTGTACTAGAGAGGGTTAAATCCGAATTGGGGGACCTCTCAATGCATGTCAGAGAAATGACCAATGACTTACTAAGGAGGCAAGATGAAGCAATGGAGAAGCAATCTGAAATGATGAGAGACCAGGTACGGCTGTTCTCCGAAATGACTGAAACTTGCACACAACTTCTAGGGCGCTCAATGAGCCGAGGGGACAGCCCCAGGCCGGCGCCAGTACCTAGTCAAAATCTTATGTAAGGACTGATGTGCAGTCGAGGGGACAGCCCCAGACTGTCACGACCAGACCAAACATACATACCAAGAACCTCGGGCATAATTGGAAGCCATAACCTAAGGCCAACAACTTCTACTCCTGTACCTGTTTCAGCCAAGACGCCTGAGACAAAGCTTTTACTGGTATAGCATGACAGATTATGTTACCACCTATGTGAGATCATGCCAAAAATGTGCAGTGAGTAAAAAAGCAAACAAACCAACCGATCTGCGTTACAAGAGTACTACGCAGGTTCCCCATTAGACAGGGTACAATTAGACATCTTGGGTCCCTTTCCAATATGTAAAAAGGAAACAAGTATATTCTTGTATTAGTAGATCAGTTCACCAAATGAACTGAGTGTTACCCCCTCCCTAACCAAACCGCCGAGTCCATTGCTGAGATACTGGTAGAGGAGTTAATCGCACGGTTTGACGTACCTCTCGAAATACACACAGATCAGGGGCGAAATTTTGACAGCAAATTGATGAAAAAGCTGGCTTCACTGAAGTGATGGGCAAAGACGAGAACAAATCCTTATCATCCCTCCCCCAACGGACTGGTAGAACGGTTCAATAGAACCCTGTTACAAATGATGCGGTGTTTTGTTAGACAAATCAAGATTGGGACACCCATCTCCAACTTTTTACTGGGGCTATCGCAGTACGCTGCACCCAAGCACAGGACTAACGCCTAACCGCCTAATGCTTAGTCATGACGTTCACCTTCCACAGGAAGTTATCTTCGGGCCACATCCAACTGAGCAGCATTCTGAAGCAGATTATGTCGAACAGCTTAGGATATCTATGAAGAAGTGCGAGAATCTTGCTCGTCAGAGCTTGAAGAAAGCAGTCAAAAGTCAGAAAAGATTGCATGATTTAAGGCTGTATGAGAGAACATATAATACTGGTGACCTCTTGTACATCAAGGATAACGCTAAGAAGATAGGGAAGAGCCCAAAACTTCAGCCTCTCTGGAAAGGACCAGCTGTTGTTTCCAAAAAGTTGTGACCATTTTTGTATAATGTGATAACGAAAAAAGGTTCTTCCACCCTCCATTATGATCATCTGAAGCCATGTCAATCGATACACTGCCAAGATGGATTGCCAAGGTTCGTAGCCAGTTAAAATATTGTAACGACTTTGACGAACTTTAAGGAATGTGCAGAAGGGATCCGGATAGGCGAGGAAACGATGGTGTTTGGACAACAGAATCATGCCTACAGAATGAAGGGAAAGCCTCCAAGAAGGATGATGCAGTAGCACAAAGAAACCAACGGACCAAGCGGAATTCACTAGGAGTGGGAGAGCGGTGAGGCGCCCACAGAGATTTGAAAGTTAAATTGAACATTTTGCTTTGTACATGTACTATTTGTTTTATGTGTTTGTTGAAAGTGTAACATTTTCTTTCTTGGGAGGGGAGAAGTGTAGTGCAATTGTGTATTTGCCGTCGGATTTGGCATGTCAATAATTACATGCATGTTGTTCTAAAATTAAATTCTGAAGCTGACGGACGTGTTCTTGTCTTCTCCCAGGTTTTTGGAGCCACGTGGTGCCAAACTGGGACCCACATCATTGCCGGGGAACCACAAAAGTTTAATATGTGTGACGACAATTTAGATAATTATACTATATAGTGGAGATTTTTGTCTTTACCGCATCCCCCTCTATCATTAGTATCAACCGTAACAGATAAATAAAAGGTGTCTTTTTTAAAAAATATTCCTACATTCAAACTCATGTATACAGACAAAATCAGTGGTTAAGTCTCCCCGGTCTCTCGCGAATGTTTCACTCATACATGTATATTCATGTAGATGCCTCTACTTGCAGATGGAGAGCTACAAATTTCATGGATATAATGAATAATAAAGAATATAATAAATTTTAGTTGAACTGCATCATGATCATTATTATGACCTCCAAAAAATTCTCTTCAGCGCGGACATCATAGGAAGTTCGTCTCATACCGGTAAGTGAATAAAAGCCACCATGGCTACTACGATTCCGTTAAATTCTGTACATGATATAGATTATGCTGCGTAAAAGGAAGGTGGACTTTGTTGTAGATTGTTTTAATTATTATTGAATAAAAGTTTTCAACTGTGCAGTTTAATTTTTCGAGACAGTGTATGATGTGGAGGGGGGAGGGGGGATGGGATTGGCGTATATACTGCATCAATATTTAAATCAAGTTCTAAGTTTAAGCATTCATTTTAGTGATATTAAAAAAAAAAGAATAGCTTCCAAAAAGGAAATGAAAGCCACGAAAAACAGTTTAAAATGGAAAATTAAAATATCTTTATACACGTTCATGCAGCACGTCTACCTACAATATCTTTAATGATATCTTTCATCAAACAAAACTATAGAATAACATACTGAATTCCATCTCTCTCACTCCTTTACCGAGGGGGGGGGGGGGGGTGCCCGTTGTCCCTGATAATAAATAAGCGCAGTTCTTTACTCGTGAATCTATCATCCGGTTCACGTGCAGAAGCTGAACTTTCACATCTATAATCATGTAAATTTTAAGAATTTACTGTCTTACAGTGGTCCTCTGATGTTTTCTATACTTCCATTGTTAAAGTGAAAAGAAAATGATTATTATTTTTTCACTGATCTTGGACCATTGTGGCACGTGGAGTATTGTGTGAATTCCGACCCACACATGTCTTATGCAAGGTATGTAGTAGTTACCCCATATTATACTGTTGGTTATGTGCAGATACCCGATGGGCGTAGTCATAATGACACGAGGGAGCGTAGCTCCCGAGTAGTCATTATGACCAAGCCCATCGGGTATCTGCACATAATCAACAGTATTATGTGGGGTAAATGACTTGTACCATAGCTTTCAAAAACCATTTATACATGTATGTAAGTCAGCTGATGAATTAATCGGTAGGACTGGTTCGTGTGATTGAAACATTATTAAATGTTTGGTTTCAATGATGCATGTGGATTTTCTCTGATTTTACGCTCCTTTATGTCCTTCTGACCACGTCCATCAAGTTTAGGGTAAGTGATTTGTATACAATACTTTTCAAAAATTGATTGTTTGTTGTTTAACGTTCGTCAGGAAAATCTTTCACTCATAGGGGGACGCCACCTCTTGCCGGTAATCGAAAACGTTATTTAAGAACAGTAGTGTACACTTTTGATTTTTACATCATGTGTGTACCGTGTTTCCTGTGTTGGTTATCAAAAGAACGATAATGGAATCTAATGGTGCCTAATAAGCTAACGTCACCCTGGTCATGACACTATTTAAAAAAATGTAAATAATATAAATAATAAAAATAAAAAGATTTCTGATTTTTTTTTTGGGGGGGGGGGGGGGGGGGGGAGGTCCTTTTAAAAAACTCAAGTTCAAGTATTAATGTCCGTTTTTAATGGTTAATTACTTGTATTAAATAATGCTATCTGCAATTGATAATTTTTAATCTTGAGTTTGATATAACAAGGCATGGTGATAGTCACATCCAAAAAATGTGCATGATTTAAAACTTGTTTTATCCTGCCTTGATGGGTGAAGTTATAGATAATTGTGGGTTATGTACAGAAAACCCACACATATAACAAAAGATATAACACCTAACTGTCATGGTACAATGAATATTGATCAAAGGTTTGAACTAAGGCTTCTGGTCAGTTTATAAGGTTTGATCCAATGGAACATCTTCAAGTTCCGCATCGATTCGAACCAGTGACCAGTCCTTTATGTCTATACTAATTTGCCAGTGAATTGCTTCATAGCTAGACCTAGGCACCTGGGACCTAGCACAGTTGGGGCACTTTATCGTGTCTGAACATACTACCACAGTAGGTGTCGGTTTATCTGACTATTAATTAATTTGAGACATAAGCAAGAGATGAGCAAATATGTTGGGTGGAAATATATAAACAAATTTTATCTAATTCTAAATTCAATCATTTATTTTAATGTTTGGCAGATTTTCTGTATACATTATATATTTGAAACTTAAAAAAAAACTCAGTTGTACAATGATGATGATGTTTAAAATCATTTCATATAGATAAAAGGAAAGAAAATTCCTTTATTTTTCAATTTTCAAGGTTTTAATTGCAGTCCTGGGAGAAATAAAAAAACAGAAAATATAAATAAATATCAACTATGTCATTCATAACAACATCCATATATGGAAAAAGTTATTAAAAACAAACAGAAATATTGTCATTGAAAATGTACATGCATAATGTTCATATAAATCAAATAAAACACAAAAAAAGAAATTTCTTTAAAAAACTAAATAAATAAAATACTAAAACATGAAAAATACATATTTTCAGTCTGAAATGTTCAAAGTGTATGGTAAAAGAGCGGATTTTTTATTTAAATCTACAGAATTTTTCTTTTGCTTAAAATAACAACTTTCCAAATGACGTGTTTTTATAAAATATGTGACTAGAACTCCAAAATTATTAAAACATGAAGTTTGGAACTACGTAGTATTTTAAGGAATTAACACAATAATACAGATTTTGTTATTGTATATATAAATTACGAAAAATTTACAAAATCATTCTAGGTAATGTCTTCAAAGTATTTCTTTAAGTATTGGCGTAAACACTGTCTGTATTCAGAAAATCTGAAACTGCTTTAAAGCAAAATTCGTACTCTTCCTGAAATAGAAAAAAAAATCAAATCCGAATTACGATTCTATCTTAAATGATAAAAAAAATAAAATTCTGCATCTCCTGCACATATCATAAAACACGTACTCTTATTAATTATTTGTAAAGACTGAAAAATAATGTTTTATTAAATGAAAATTTATGATTGAAATAATTATTATTTTGTCTTCTCATCAGGATAACTGTTTTTTATTCATCAGTTGTCTCTATTGAATTTCATTCAGACAGAGAAAGATAATGTAAGGTACCGTTAAAATTTCCCTATATTTGAATTTTGTAATACAACTGCAGTGATGAAAATAAAAGTAATTACCTTAGTTGTAATCATTTCTGGTCTTCTACACTGTAGCTGTTGTACTATAGTAAATAGGTCCACCTCATCGTCCTGCTGTAGCTGTTCCATGGCGTTATACACAGCAATAAATACTCCACAGCAGGTCGCACCGTCCCTTTTAAATGCAATATGATAGAAAACATATACTTCATTTAAACATTAAAAAATTGATAGATAACTCCTATACAAAACAAAATAAGTCTGCGTTTATTTCCGTTGGATTTTAATCTATACTTTTTGAGTTACAGGTACTTTAGAGTGAATCTATACATATAAGACGTGTGGCAGTGAATGGAGATAGGGATTATAATTGAAAATATGTAAGCTTGCACGTGTGTACCCCATACAACTTCTATGACTTATGAAATATGTGTCCATCCTTGCATTTCACTTTCCTGTTTGTCATATGTATTGCTGCATATATAAACATCAGACGATGTTCGTACATAGTAGTATATATTCTATGAATGCATGTAATATTTTTATTCATAATATGTAACTGATAGGTATGTCGACAAATTATTGAGGGAATACACTAACGATATTAGAATAATGCATGTATATATAGGATCTCCATGATTTGTTGGAGGATATGATTTCTATCGAACTAGGTATGTGATTTTTAAGTCCGAAGTTTTAGGAGGAGTAAAAAAAAACAACAATTTGGATAAAATCATATTCAATGCTTATGCCTGTCCAAGATTTCTAAATGTCCATAAGCCTTTTCCTGATCCAAAAGTAAAACCTTACTTACCAGTTCTATAGTTACTGACTTTTTATTAATAGCATTTATCATCTGCTTTAAAGAGAATTATATAATCAATTTATATATTTCCTCATTAACACACTTTATTATATTCCTTATTATTACATAATTAGCCACAGCTCTTCTTAAAATATCTATCAAAAAACTATTTTTAGATAGAAATAACAGAACAATAACCTTCCCTCCCCGATCAAAAAATAACTCCTTAATCCGAGACTCTACGGCGCAAACACTCTACACGGGCAGCTATTTAAAATCTAAATAACAAAATTTTAATAGCAGTTTTTCACATAGTCGTTTCACATTCCATGCAAAAACGCAGCGATGTCTTTTAAAAGCAAAACGTTTTGTGCAGACTTTATATGATGCAAATGTGTAACACAAGAGCAATCTGCATTTGAAAATGTCACCGTTAAGGTTGTGCATCCAATATTATTTATATTAAAATGCCAGTCCATTTTACTTTTGATTTAAAACAGAGTCAAATAGTGTGATCCAGATTCTCAGATAATAACCTTATGTTTTTCTAAACCATATTAATTACTCGTCTCTGAATCTGAAACATTATATGACATTGTGGCATAAAAAAGAAAAAGGGAAAATTGTTTGAGGACATCTTAAGTTTGTATTGTTTATTCAAATATCATTTATCATATATAGATATAACATAGAAGGATAAAAATATTTTTGATATGTGTGAAAATTTATTAGACTCCCTTTTATATCTCGTTAACAAGTAAATGGCCAAAGAGAAGCTAATCACAACACACCGCAATTGGTTAAATCTGATGAGTGTCTGATTTCATTATGTACCCCGCCCCCTAGGTTGTTAGTTTGTATAGCGAAAGAATTATTTTTTTTATCATAATTAGTTTCATTGCAATACAAGTCTAATTCAGTATAAGACAAAATTTAAAACAAGAGGCCCATGGGCCACATCGCTCACCTGAGAAGCTTTGACCATTCTGTTCTTTACCAGATTTCCCCCTTGTAATACATTATGTATCCCAACCCTACCCCACTGATCATAATTAAGACATTTTGAAATCAACTACCCCAGGATCCTTCCATGTGCAAATAAGTTTCAGCTTTTCTGGCCCAGTGGTTCTTGAGAAGAAGATTTTCAAAGATTTTTCCTATATATTTTTATGTAAAATTTTGATCCCCCCATTGTAGCTCCACCCTTCCCCTGGGGGTCATGATTTGAACAATTTAAAATCTACATTACCCAAGAATGCTTCCACATAAGTTTCAACTTTTCTGGACCGGTGGTTCTTGAGAAGAAGATTTTCAAAGATTTTTCCAATATATTTCTATGTAAAACTTTGATTACCAATTGTGGCCCCACCCTTCCCCCGGGGGTCATGATTTAATTTAGAATCTACACAATACCAGGATGCTTCCACCTAAGTTTCAGCTTTTCTGGCCCAGTGGTTCTTGAGAAGAAGATTTTCAAAGATTTTTCCTATATATTTCTATGTAAAACTTTGATTCCCCATTGTGGCCTCGCTCTTTCCCCGGGGGTCATGATTTGAACAATTAAGAATCTACACTACCCAAGAATGCTTCCACATAAGTTTAAACTTTTCTGGCCCAGTGGTTCTTGAGAAGAAGATTTTCAAAGATTTTTCCTATATATTTCTATGTAAAACTTTGATTCCCCATTGTGGCCCCGCCCTTCCCCCGGGGGTCATGATTTTTACAATTTAGAATCTACACTATCCCAGGATGCTTCCACCTAAGTTTCAGCTTTTCTGGCCCAGTGGTTCTTGAGGAGAAGATTTTTTAATGACCCCACCCTATTTTTGTCTTTTCTTGATTATCTCCCCTTGCGAGGGGATATGTCCCTTCATTTTGACAACTTCAATTCCCCTTAACCCAAGGATGCTTTGTACCAAGTTTGGTCAAAATTGGCCCAGTGGTTCTTGAGAAGAAGTCGAAAATGTGAAAAGTTTACAGACGGACAGACGGACAGACAGACAGTCAGACGGACGGACGACGGACAAAATGTGATCAGAAAAGCTCACTTGAGCCTTTGGCTCAGGTGAGCTTAAAAAGATATGAAAGATGGTAAATCACTTACTTTGAAATCACAGTCACATGTCTGTTTGAATGAGATTTCCGATCAAGGCTGAACTGTTTTATGAGGTTTGTTAAAGTAGAAGTTTCCTTCGGAAGTATTTCACTGAAACTCCAGTTAAGACATTCAAAAATCTGTAGGTCATGTGTTTCCTCATTATCCTGTAAAATGCATATGTAAATTAAACAAAAAACATAGCTTCTGGTGGGGAAAATATGATTTAATTAAAAAGCATCTACGATTATAGTTCGATCAGAACATTGTTATGCTTAGGCATTACTTTCAACAGAGAGAGAAGTGTCAAGGAACTGTTAAAGAAGTCCATCCTTATCATCAGTTGAGTAAATGCTCATGAAAATGTCACTGAATTCAAAAAGTAATATGCATGTTTACATGTACGGAATATTCGTTTCATTTCATTATTTTGTAAATAAAATAAAATAAATTATAAAGGTTTTTATACGTTATGAATGAAATCTAATAAAACATGGTTTATTTTCAGCTTAAAATATACCTAATTATATAATGTAGGTTACAAAGTACTAATAAACAGAACACAGAAAAATGGGAATGTCTTTAACATTGAGTTTTTGTTAATTTTAATTTCTTGTATTTTTGGTTGTGTAAATACATTAAGCATTAGTCTAACAAGCGAAAATATTAATTTTTCGTCTTTTATAATGTACAGGTATCACCTTATTTAAGCGTCTCTTCCGATGCTGAAATATTATTAAGAAGAGGTAATGAAGTTTATGTTAAAACATTTTGGGAAGTATTGAAATAAATGAAAATTTTAGTATAAATATTTATTACTCCCGACAGAGGAAATAAGAAGCTTAAAATCGTCAAAAAAATTAAAAAAAAATGAAATCTTTCCAACTTTTCTTCATAACATTTGTAAGGCCTTTGTTTTGCTACTGAATTTGACTCTGGAATACCCCGTTCACCTGATCAATATATAGGGCTAACGGTGGGTTTAACCAATCAAAAGGGGATTTTCACTCCTGTTAGGTTCTTGAATTTCAAGGGGTCAGTTTTTTAATGTTCTCTTCACATGTTTGTATAGTTAATTGTTTTTTTTATCGATGACTGTTCATTGTCCTCACCTTGCACGTCTATTATCAAACTTAAGGGACTGGAAAATACTATGTTTCGTATGAAAAAAAAATAACTCACCTCCTTCTTGGTTATTTTCATGCTCGTCTTTCGTACTCCTTTTGATAGGGTTGTTTGTGAATCTTTAGTGATTGTAAAGGGACTTAGTTTGATAGGGTCAATTTTTTCCTCAACCCAGCTTTGTAACTGCGATATTCGGATAGAAGAAAATATATTATCATATTTATTTCCATTAACTAACGAGATATTTATCAAAAATATTTTGCCAATTGCAAGATAACAAAACATTCTTAGATAGAAGAAAAACTATGGTAATATTTATTTCTATTTACTAACGGGGAATTTATCAAAAATATTTTGCCAATTGCAAGATAACAAAACAAAAGAATAAAATAATAAAATAAAAGGAGTTGCATCCTTATTGTGATGTAGTGTTTAAAATGATTTGTTTCTTTTTAACAAATACCTCTTTAACCTCTGATAAAGGATTCAGTGAGATAAGGAATTCTGATTCGTGATCAAGTAGCAGACGAACAAGATCTATGGCCGCACCAGGTACAGGAAGTTGCGCGGATATAAACTCATCAGCTCTGGTGAATGACTATGTAAATAATTTCAGAAAATAATAAATTGCATACTATTAGGCACAACATGGCGAAGTTTTTTTTTCTCGCTCAAAAAACATTCTGATATAGATTTTCTAAAATATTAGAAAAATAGTTTTATTGATATGATAATAGATAAGTTATGGACAACATGCTTAATACATACGGAAACATTCACTGCATTGTAGTAGGACTCTCGACCAGGAACATGAGAAGTCAAATATACCAAGTATTGCTCAACTACAAAAAGTATTACAGAAAAGCATAAGAAATACGGTCTCTTTTCAGACTTAAAAAATTCCATTGACAACAATATATATATCAAATATATTTGTATACAGTTAAATCACCTATTTTAAGTGTTCAGATTTCTTCGTTTCTTAAAAAATATCAATTCCTAGGAAAATGATTTTGTAGCTTACGAACCGTTTAGTTTTGTTCAAATTAATTGATATTTTAATATTTTATTGAAACCGTTCTTGGGTCTCGTTAAAACATAAAAAAAAAACTAAATTAAACATCTCAGGTTTATAGGTATTTCATATGTGTTATCATTTTTTACGTAATACTTTAACAATGAAAGACAAAAGAAACAACAAGGATACAATAGGTTCATGTACATCTTAAATAGAATATGTCAAAATAAACATTCAGAATCTATCTACCTGGTAATGCTGATTTCGTCAAATTCAGTTTCGAAAACTTCTTTCCACTCTTAAAATCTTTGGCATCGTATCTTGGTTTTAAACTTATCAGTTCCTTTAAATAAATGATAAGATAATACATCTGTATATATGATTTTATATTTATAAAAAAAAACTATCGAAGGGTTCATCTAATGGCAGAATATTGAAATGTTTTGAAAATATTTTTTTTTATTGGCCTGTTTTTTTAAAAGTTTTTTTTCATTTATTAAAAAAAAAAATCATTACTGATAAGTATTTTTGAATAAACATCCAGATCAATTCTTACGTTGAATTCGTTGGTTAGTTGTTTCTGTGTATCTGTTTTATTCACATCTATATACAAACTGAGAAATTCGTCTTTCTTTCTATATTGCGCTTTTCTTCTGAAGTACTCATACAAAGCATGGTACAGAAACATATACTGGTCCTAAAATAATGAAATTTATACATTTATGTTTTTTTTAAATACATTTTCTTCGCATTTCTTTCTTTACTGAAATTTCTGAATCAAACCAAAATTTCGTATTTAAAAAAATTAATAATACTTCATTTTCTTATTCTCTCTCTCCCTCTATCTACATTCAAGATATTATAGTAAAGAAAGCAGGAATATACAGTTCAAATATTCAACGTACCACATTCTGTATCATCGTCATCCTGTCTTTACGCATGGCCTTGACATACTCTATGACATTGACCTTGCCCTTGTCCTTGCCATATCTAGACAAAACGTCAAGGGCGATAAAAGTCCCGGTTCGTCCAATTCCGGCACTGTAACAAATTTCAGAGAAAAAAATACATTTGAGTATTCTTACCTAATACACAAAACGACACATGAACTGTTAAAACTAGGACAATCTGTTTGAGATATTTTGATATTTGAATTTTTTTTATCTCTTAAGTATGAAAACAAAACCCTTCCCAAAACTTTTTTTTATTTGTTGTACACAGGTGTTGCTTAGAATTATTCAAATATTTGATATTAAGAAAAATATAGAAATTAAACTATTGACAGGAATAAAATGTTTAAATAATATTCCTAGGCTAATAATTTTTGGATGCAACTTTACATTAAAGAAGATATAGTAGATTTGTTATCGATATTTCATTTCTTCATAAATATCTTCAGGTTGATTACCTGCAGTGTACAATGATTGGATGTTGGGTTGATCTGATCTTGTGTCTAAAGTGACGATGGAAGACGACCAAATTTAAAGGATTCGGTGTTCCGTGATCTGGCCATCGGGTGTAGTGATACTGTACGACCGTCCTTGACCCGGTGACCTAATTAAAGACATCCACCGTTTTTATTCGATATATATGATAAAACTAAGATATCCTTTTCGGTTTGATGTGTTTTGCTTCGAATATTATTATCATTACAACTCAATTTGAAAAGTGAAACACTCTGTAAATCTTGAATACCCTCTTTTTCTGTACTGTCATTTTTCTTTCAACGAAATAAGCATAAACTTTTTCTTCTACCAAGGTTACAGAAAAAGGATTTATGTCAAGTTCTTTTTTTTCGTCTGGCCAATATTGATGACATTTCACCTAAATTAAAAGGTGCAGTTTGTAAGATACATGAAGTAGGAAAATTACACAGACAATAATAATCGAAAAAGGCTTTCCTGAATATGTGACTCAAGTTGCCAATACAACTTCAAAAATAATTATTCAAGACATTGCAAGAAATACTCTAGGAAAGAAAGATATGTACTGATAAAAAAGGTTCAGTTGGTAGAAAAATGTATAGATTATGGGGTGTACAATCCTTAATCAAACCTTTGGTCCCTCAATAAGGTTGGTCAACATAACAATATATTCTACATGCTCCTGCCAAATCATTCTCCAGTGGTCAACTAAAGTGTTCTCTCGTGGGCCTAAAAGACATTCATTTTTAAACTGAAATGCTATAGCGTAAGTTACTTTACAGATTGTCTATTCTACTAATGTTTAAGTTGAACACTTTTCCTCTAAATTGTCCTTAATAAAAAAAGACTGTAATTTATTTACCTTGACATGCGATGAATTCCCTTTTTCCTCCCATATTCTAAAAAAGAAAGTACCTGCATTGAACACATTTTAATATTATTAGATACGAGGGTTGTTCGAAAAGTTCGTGGACTACTGTCATATCTTTTTTATTTGACGTCATATGTTATCTAAATTTGGTAGAAACATTTTAACAATAAATCCAAAGGATTTGAATTAATTTTTTTTTAAATACCACTATTTTTTCAAAACTTATCCAGAATTTAAAAATGCAAAAATCGTATCGCGGAGCAGGTCAAAATTTAGTAAGTTACGAACAAAAGACAATATAATGTCTGAAGTCATATTCTCTGTAAAATGATGCAAAAAGGAAAAACAACCGAGAAATCCAAATTTAAAATTGATAAATCGATTTCTGTTCCAAATCATGGCTTAATATTTTGCTCTGATGAAAATAAATCAACTTGAGAAGATAAGTAGTCCTCGTTAAAAACGACAAAAACGATGACGTTTTAGAACGTCACGGAGCGACCGATAACAATGCAATTCTGTCTTTTACTCAGGAAAAAACTTGAATAAACTAAAAATGTTGAAGGAATAAAAAAAATATGTCAAAAGCCAGTTGCACATGTGTGTACAATACGTATAGGCAGTATTTGAGTGACACAGACTTTGTATGAGGTGAGGACAATCTGCGAAGAAAAACGTTTATCTATAAAAATCTTAACAAAAACTTTAAAAAGTTCGAACGTCAAGTAAAGACATGGGCGCTTTAGAGTTGCCTACCCTGTGAAAGAAAAGTTAAGTAATAAAAGAAATTAAAATCTTAACAAAGGAAATTATACAACGAGAACATTTCTTAAAAAATGAATTTCAAGTATTACAAAAGGGATTAATGATTGAGCATTGGATTACACTTTGTGAAATGTATAGGAATAGTATATAAATTTTAGAAATTCTCGACACTATATTGTGACGTTACTTTGTCGTTAAGGGTGCTCCGCGGGTACAAAACATGCTAATTTTAAAATGAAGTAGATTGATTTCTGTTACATGGAATGGAATGAAACATTACTCATCAGGAAAACAAATATTTTTACATTTTATATTATCCTTATTTTAAATTTCTAGTGAGTAATATGACGAAGATTGACATCGTCCACGAACTTTTCGAACAACCCTCGTACATGCAAATATTATCAAACTGAAAAAAAAAACGCTGAAACTGTACACAGTACCTCAATGTAGTTTGCGTTGATGTAATCAGATGTAAATCCCTTACCAACTTCTAAAATAACTCGGGAATGATCATCTGAAAGTGAAACAGAATCGTTATCTACAGCGTTAATTCTGAAAACAACACAAACTCCTTAAGGATGATGTTCACTCAGGTTTTAGAAAACAGAAAGGGTATTTTATAAAGAATATTATATGTAAAATCAAAAACTGTTCTAAACGGATAAAGTAATCAAGTTTAAAAATCAAATATTTTATTATTCGGAAAAAAAATAAACAGGAACAAAAATCAATGTATGCTAATGCAGAGGAAATTAGGACTAAATTTATAAATTTTCAATTTTGTCAAAAATTTATTTTTTCGTGCAATATTAATCACAATGTAAAGGTTACATGTATGTTGAAACATCATTTTGAAATCAATATAGGTGTTAAAGCTCATAAATTATTTCAAATAAAAGAATGCTATGAGATGAAGAAATTCAAAATATAAACAAAAAGCATTCCAGACAACATATCTCAAAAATTTGATCATTGACCCCATATAATATTAATACCATGATTAAGGCAACAAAAGAAACCGGAGGCTATAAACAATTTAGAGTTCTTATCATTCAGATTTTTTAAATATTAAGTTCAAAATCTGTTAAAATATATATATGAAAGAGGGAATTCGGACGATAATAATTATTAAGTTTATGGCCCAGACTCTGATCTTTTCTTTATATGAAGCAAGGCTGTTCTGTTACTATAAAATATCATTTTTTTAAAGAGTTATGTTGCTTGTAATATTTTGTGAGTATAGGTAAAATTGGTAATAGCGTGAAAAATTAAGGCATTTTCTGAGAAATACTGAGGGGGCCACTAGCATGAAAAGTAGATCATTGACCTAGTTATTTGATATTGAAATTTTACACAAGATTCATAGGTATACTATGTGCAATAGGTTTTTCGTTCTCATCAGTGAAAATTTTAGTCATCTTAGTAAAGGTATACCTTAAAGGGAAATATCATATCGATGATATGTATAATAAAAAGATAATAAACTTCTTGATGAATTTATAATTAGAGAAGTCATGACATCTTAAACTAATTAACTAATGAAATTTTAAATGTAAGATCATTTCTATAAAAGACAGCAATGCAAAAGAATATTATTCTAGATTTCAATAAACTGAAATTGCATTACTGTTTTAAGTTAATTTCACATAAAAGTTAGAAGAAGTAAATATAAAAGTCTTACATGGAAATGTGGTTTTAAATCTATTTTTTGGCATATTCTCTTCTGTTTTGGCGGTATCACAGGCGAATCTTTCTCCATAAGGAAGTGATTTGATTAAGATAAATAGTACTTTATGAATTATATATGAATGTAAAACATGCCACATTCATGCATGCATTATAATCAACAGATAGTCCAAAAAAGTTGTTTATGTATCAATTCGAGTATCCATTTTTAAAAACTACTTAAAAAGACACTTTTGTTTCCAATTTGTAAATTTATTTATTGCTGCCCAATTTTTTTCAGTTATCTTTGGACCTGCTCTGTTTAAAAATATTTCAACATTCACATTATTTATTTAAAATTCATCTAGCTTCATTAGCGTCAACGTAATGTGGATACCTTAAACTCCTTCAGGGACCCCTCATTTTCCTTTGCTTCCTTCTCTTTGATTACATTCATTAAGTTTGAGACAGCGATATCCTTAGCTACAGACAGGTCGTTATAATACACAGCCTCCTCTGGGTTCTCTGTCTGAGGTTCTTCTTCTGGATCCTCGATTGGAACAGAAACATTTCCAATGTTGGTGTATAATTTGTTGTCAGCTGCAACACATATTTACGTGTCTAATAATAATAAAGAGGCTATTTTGACTTAAAAAATATATTATCTTTTTTTAGACAAGTACTTGAAGGCAACATGAAAAATTTAACAGAGAAATTATTACAAGACAGGAAATAAATGTACAACTACTCGTATGACTTGTACATATGCATGAATAAGCACATTAAACACACTTTATAACGTTCGATTTTAATAATGTTCAGGAAGATATCGTGGTTTTGATATCATATTAATTGATTTTTATTGAAAAAAGGTCATATTATGCAATACGAAAAGGTATATTGTCGAACTATCGAGCATCGACATTTTGTTGCAATAATGCGATGACACGATAATTCTGCGACGATAGTTGGATGAAACAATGAAGAGATTTTGAGTTTTCCGTCATGGTACCTATACAATAATCATCGCACCATCTTGCACTACGATTGCTATCACAACATCGTGTTATCGCATTATATTCACCATGTCATTACATTGTCATATTATCACTTCATCGAGCTAAAGCACGATTGTGGTATGATGTGAATCCCTATCTTGATCCCATACCTCTTGAAAAAATATTTAAGTTATCGCCACTGTAAGAAACGTGAGGTGTCGACTTTTTATCGCTTTTTTGTCTCCTAAATCTGAAATACAAGCAAAAAATTATGTAAAGGTATGTAGGGAAATGTCATAAAAAATAAAGAATGAAACATTTAACATTATCAGCAATGGAATATCATAGACTTTATTCGTAAAACATGTTGATTGATTTTACCTTATGAAAAGAAAGACAATTATAATTGCAACAATAACGAACACAACGGTCCCTACTCCGGCACCAATTGCAGACACGGGGATATCTGATGGACTACTTTGGGGGAGGACTAGAAAAAAAGAGACCATTGAGCTTTAGCGGGTAGATAAGTATTTCAAGTTCGGAGCATTTTCTGTCTGGAAAAGGTTTGATCGTACCTATGTTATTGATTATATGGATGAAAAGCAGAAGCTGAAAATGTAACAATGTTTACGACGGATAGATGACGAAAGACAAAGGCAGCAAAAAGAAAGCAATAGGTCAATTAAGTGACTAAAATAACTAAGTAAAGTACGGGGACTTCTTTTCTTCTTATAAACAGCAAAGCTATAAAATGGTATTTCAGTATTTCAAATCACAGACAATTTATAATTCTTTCCATACCTACTCCGCATTGATCTCCAAGGAAGCCACTTCTACAACCTCCAAGACAGGTGCCGTTTATAGCATGACAATGCCCATTCAGACAATTACTGCTACACTTTTCTGTACAGTTGGCACCATAGAAGTTCGGTCTGCATTCTAAATTCAAACAGGTTTATCAGTTTATTAACGCTTTTATTCCGTTATTTGTAAGTTGGCTTACAGAACATCAAATACAAGTGTCCGATACATTTACTTGCATCTCGTAGGAAAAGGTCTATTAAAACACAATCTCTAAAAAAAAGCATGAATTTATGCACAACAAAAATTTTTGGCCAATAAGATTGTTCATGATCAGAAAAATGATTTATCACGGGTTTTGTTTTTAATCGAATTACCATTGCATTTGTATCCCTGCCACTCCGGTTTACAGGTGCAATTTCCCGTTCTTCTTTCACAGGTTAAATCACATCCAAAGCTGCAATCTAACTGGCAATCACTCCCATACTTTCCATCCACACATCCATTGTCACAAGCCCCTGTGTCTTTACTGCACGCGTTTTTACAGTTAGTATTACACCTGCTGCTACAGTCGTTGCCATAATAACCTACCCGGCATTCTCCAGAACAATCACCAGTTGTTCTGTCACAAGTAAAAGGGCAGGAAGAGCAGTTATTGTCACAGTAATATCCAAAATATCCAGGCATACACCCTTTATCACAGTACCCATCACTGTAACAAGTACCATTTTTACACCTTTTACTACAGGGCAGGGCACAATCAGGACCATAATGTGTTGATACACAACCTAAAATAATGAACACATGTTTATTGTTTTTCCCCATCTTTATATTCTTGGAAAACTATTTCTAATTAAATGTAGAGAGAATAACCTTAATATATAAGTTGCGTCAAGCGAAAAAGATTCTTCACGACCAAATTTTCGAAAATCGGGTTTTTACTGTTTCTGAAAGAGCTAGTTTTTTTAAAAAAAATATTTTGATACAAATTTTTCTAATATATACCTTCTAAATTCTAACTAAAACTCGAAAATGAAAGCAATGCAATGCTAAAAAGATAACACTGTAAAACGTTGATTAACGTCACATATCGTCATTGATAATTGGAACGTAATTTCTAAATTTCCGTGTGTAATAGTTAGATATTATTTTTTCTACATGTATTTTAAAGTTTTTTCAACATCTTTCCTTCCAAATTTTAGCATATATATGATCGGATACATTGTAAAATAGTGGTACATGTAAGTTGCGTAGGGCGAAAGGAAATTTCGGGACATAAACGTAATGACGTCACAATATCACTTTAAAGACGTGATGTCTCGTATATATTTGCGCTTGCCGATAAAAAGTTTCAAGTTCAACATTCTGGGAAAAAACAATGCATAATAAATTTTAAGAAGTCTTACTGTTACACGTCTTTCCTATCCAGTGCAGTACGCACCCATCGCTGCAAAATCCATTTGTTTGATTACACCGATGATTTACACATTGGGCATTGCAATTATGAGAGCAAACATCACCATAATGCCCATCATTACAGCCTCTTTCACAGTGACCACTGCTAAAATTACAAGTATTATTTTTACACTGTTGACTACATTGTCGTTTGCATTGTAAACCGTAGTACCCTCCTCGACATCCATTTACACACGCCCCATCACTTTTTCTGCACGATAACGTGGAACAGGTGGGACTGCAGGGTGTTTCACATTTTGGTCCATAATATCCAACAGTGCAGTTGTAAGTACAATCACCTGTACCCGAATCGCATATTCGTGGATTACATCTATCGCTGCAGGGCTTTGAACAATAACTTCCGTAATAACCGGCCACACAGCCATTGCTACATATTCCTGTGTCATAGGCACACACTTGTTGATAGCAATTTGGGCATAATCTGGTCTCACACTTATTTCCTGCGTAATTAGCTTTACAGCTATAACAATTACCATTTGTGTAACAGTTGTTTTGTGCGCAAGTTGATGGGCATTGCTCTGAACACGTATCTCCCCAATAACCAAAGTAACATCCCTTAGTACAGTAACCATTAGATTCACACTGTCCTTGATAGCATCCTTGGTTGCATTGCTTTTCTTAAAACAAAATAGAAAATGTATTTTGAATTACATGTACATGATATAAAATCAGACTACCTTGCAAATTACATCAAGAAATGTTTTGCCTGTTTTTTTTTTCAGACTGGTTTATATACGCATCGCTAATTTATAACTTCTAAAAAGGAAAGGTGGGATCAAATACCATAGAAGAAAAGAATGTTTTTTTCAAACCAAGCCAATGTGCATGAAATAATAACATAGATATCTAAGGCTAAATATTAATAAAGTTAAGGATATACAAAAAGTTTCATCTTTAGTATATCGCAGAGTATGGTTGTGTAAAATGTTGAGAAGTATGTTTAACAATATTGTTTAAGGCTATTTTCCCTTTGGATTTTATGCTACTTACGGCAAACACCATTCACAACATCACACGAGGAACATGAACATAATGAGCAGCTTCCACCATATCTTCCAGTTGCACAACCTTCAATGAAATAGTAAATAAATACATGTATCATTGATAAGTGAATTTTAGAAAAAACATGCTTTATCTATATTGTATCAATGTAACTAGCTACTAATGTATCAGAGGACAAATAAAGCAGCTGTAAACGAATTTTCATTTGCTGTCAGCCATAGTATTTGCTGTTTCTTATTTATACATGTATGCATTACATTACAAAATTTATACAATTGGTTTCTGAATTTGAATAAACTTACTCAAATGAATTCACATAATTAACTGTTTAAGTTTTCATTGTAGTCGGCTCTTTTCAAAAGCCTGTATATTTATTCAATAATACATTTTTCGTGATAGGAATTCTAGCTTACGGTAAAAACTGGGTGCCTTTTTTATATTCAATTTGAAATTCATCTACTTATATTAAAATTTATTTTAAGGATTGTTTGATGGTATGTTGTTTAAATGTCCCTCTGCAGAATTTTTCACTTATATGGAGAGGCGCCAGCATTTGCCGGAAGAGAGCTGCAAATTCTGTACTATACTCAGCACTTACAGTCATTTATCATTTTGGGATCATTTTTGTGGAAGCACCTACTACGATACGGGACTTCGGTATATACAGTCTAATCCAAAGGACTGGTTTCTACGTCTCACAGCGGGATTCGAACCCACGACGGAAAGATCAACTACTTCCTCCGAGACTCTAAAGCAGACGCTCTAACCACTGCGATATGTGGGCGGATCTTTCACGGATACAGTATGTAATGGGAGAACCAACTGAGTCGGGTTTTCTTTTAATGAAGTTCTATTGCATCAAATAAATTTACAAAGACTTGCTTTATTTTGACTTAAATTTAAATATGGAAGGCTAGTTAGATACATAATTTTATTTATAAAATAGGCAGTAGTCAGGCTAAGCATTTTTATTTTATCAATTATTCCATCAAAAGATAATACATACTTTTGCTTTTGAATTATCATAGATATTCTCCCTCTTAAATCTTGAAATAAAACGTTTACGTCTTTCTTATTCGTCTTACCAATAACTTCTATTTCACAAATTTCTAGGATTGGACCCGGATCACCCGGATATATGTACTTCGTTTCCACAATTACATATCTTGCCGTCTGTTTACACGGAATCTGAATTATATTTGGAGGTAGATCTGGATGAGTGCTGTTGTCGGTGTAACATCGGGTTCGCTGACTTGTTGTGGTGGAAGTAGCTGGATAGTCCGAGACATCCAGGTAAAACTGTCGGAATCTATATTGCTGCCATTGACCTGTAATGTAAAATATTTTGTTATGAGATAAACATAATGTTACCCTAACCTACCCCTAACAGTCATGAACTAGTCTAAACTACCTGAGTGTGTTTTAAATAAAAATGGCTTATCATGAGTTGTACATTGTATTTTATTAATTTTGACCGCCCATTGTGGCCTCATTTTAGGCCTGGGTTCATGATTTGAACAACGTTGAATCCAAAAAGGGTGTGGACGCTACCATATAAATCTGAATAATTAGGACTTTACTGTTTTACTACAGAATTTTCATTTCTTTTTTTCTTCTAAATACTGAAAGGAAGAAGAAACGCAGGATAGCTTATTATTTGATTTTTTTATCGCATGACCGAAAGTTACGAACACTGGTCAGATGAGAATGTTAGTTACTATGCACCAAAATCAGTGTTCAGAATTACTCAACCGTTAAATGTTTGACACGAAGTCATATTGAAAAATGCTAAAAAGACTAGTCACGTACAAATGACGAGTTTTTCAATAAATCTTGCTGTTCTGTTTGAATCAATTGAAGTACACACATTGTTTATCTTTGAAAATTTACAGATGATATAATTTTTTTGCAATCTTAATACAGTTGACGGAAGTTCCATATGGTGAGATTTTCAAATTACAGATGTAAGGACAAAAGCAACAGCGGGTTTCTAAACAGTTTCTTGTAAATTTCCCCCCATAGCACGTGTAATTCGTTGCCAGAGATGTTCTGGAATGGTTTCCAACCAATCGTGTCGATGATATTAACGCCACACAGTCACGTTACGATCGAGTTTTTTTCCCCTGTCCCTTGTTTAATCGCCACCTAATACCACAAAAACTGCTATTAATACAGTAGACTATCATAATCATTACATTCACTCAAAAACGGAAAGAAACTAATTACGCAATTTGGGGTTTTTAGCTGATATTGATAAACTTAATGGTTGTGTTTCTCTCAATGGTGCATGTGCCTCTCGTTTGACTTATTTTTCGACGTTGTGAGTCATGCCCAATATACACGTAGCAAGGGTTAGATTGATTGTATTTTGTTTTACGTCCCTCTCGAGAATTTTTCACTCATATTGAGACGTCATCGTATGCCGGTGAAGGGCTTACAATTTTTACCTTTACTCGGCACCCAGGGACATTAAGCAGTGAGGTATCTTTATGGTGCAAACACCTGTCGCTAACACGGGGCCTCGGTTTTTAAGGTCTCATCCGAAGGACCCGCAGCTTTCACTTAAAAGTGCTAATCGCATGGCGAACAGTTGCTACCCATTTTATCGACTAGGTCAGTCGCGGCCTAAGCCAGAGTTAGAAAACTTAAACACTCTGATGAATTCTGATGCAAAGGAGAAACTAGACTGTGACAGATACGCGGGGGAGACATTAAAGATATTGAGTTTTCGATTTTCTCTCTGTGTGGTTTCGTCATATGAGTTCCAATAACTCATGATTTATAAGACAAAAACAAATAAAACTTTGATTGTATTTTCTCAAAAGATAATTTTGAAAGTAAGATAGGAATACTGAAAATGATAAAAAGAAAAATGAATTTAGTTCCTCTCAAAAGTTCACCGTACATTTCTTTTTCCTTTCAGTATAATGCCTTATGTGGGCCTCACCCTAGCCAAATGGATTATAGTACATGTATAATCAATCTTAAATCTACCTGAACATGTATCCTCATTAATATGAAGAATTGCAACTTTCAATTGTTGTTTTAGCAGATTTTTCTTCTTTATTCCTAACTAAAGTTGTGATTCATTGTGGCTCAACCCTAGCAACAGGGATCATAATTATATATAGTCTGTTCAAATGTTAACGGATAGTGTCTGAAGATGATTCTATATACAAGTAAATATAATTAATGATTTTTAACAATTATTTTAATGTATTTCTATATATATTTTTTTTGTAACTGTGGCCCAGCGCCTTAAGGGTCATGCATTGCTGCTACCCATAGGGGCTATGAATTGAACAACTTGAAACTTAAATGCAAACTTTTGGAGAATGTTTTTTTTCATAAATATGACAAATCATGGCTATCACATAAGTTATCTTTTTTTGCCAAGTACTTGTTAAAGAGAATTTTTTGAAAGGATGTCATTTCCAGTAAATCTTAATTACAAGTATATCTACTTGAAAGTTTCTGGAAGAGTCTGATGCATCTGTGTTTTTTTCTAAATAGAAAGGTTCTGTCTGTCTAGCTCTCCGTTTGTCTGCGTTCTCTACAATTGTTTTCCTTCTTTCTTTGGCAGTTTTATTTTTAACTTGATTGAGCGTATAAGGGGTAAATTTTTAAGAGTTAATAAAAATCCATTTTGAAATTTAAAAGCAAAAGCAATCTATTTCACTTGCATCATAGCGGGGAGATTCTATGGATTGTTCATGTACATGTAGCTCTATCTTGACAACATAAGACAAAAATCAGAGAGGGCTACATTATTTTCGATTACTGAAACCTGTATGAACAATTTTGTAGAAAATGACTACATGTATCATGCTTTGATCAAAATCAAGTCCAAGACTCAGTATTTTTCACACGCTTAACACTGCCACTCACTTTTCAAGCACTTATCTTCTTTAAATCACAATACATGTCCATTGTCTTAGAGATATCTAGTTCATGGTAAATTTTGTTTCGTTTTTAAGGCAAGAAGCAGATAATTGCATGTTCTATGTATTAGTTTTTATTGTATATTTAAGAAATAAATAACAAGTTTATAAACTTCAATGGGAATTGAAGTGGATCGGTCACGTGATTAAATCCTGTGTAGGTCTAAGGCCTTCTTAGAAGATTTGATCACGTACCGACCCAAATCAATTCCCATTGAAGTTTATAAACTTGTTATTTATTACTTATATATACATTTGAGACAGACAATTGAATATTTTCGAATTTAATTATTGCACTAACCGACCGTCGTAGATTTATAAAAATGACGCAAGGTGTAAATCGGCTTGCATGGCGGGTACGCTTTAAGTTCATTAGGCTAAGGAATCTATTTGGAAGGGAATACTTTGTGAAAGGCTACTTGTGATCAGTAATAGTGAACAGATTGTTCTCTGGGAATATTTTTATTCGTGAAAATTGATAATTGATGCTGAAAAGACACAAAAAACACGTCCGAAGTTTGATAATAAAAAGTTTGAGGAATTTCGGTCGTCGGAAAGGGATGGATGGATCTGATGGATTAAGACACTTGTCCGAGCCAGTTAATTTGCAATTTGATCAAAATCATTCTACGATTTCAGTAACTAAAGGCATAATTATCGTAAAACACTGATAAACACGGGGACACTGGCGACAGCTTGACATTGAACTACGAAAACGCCGAGGTGTTTGGCAGCAGTTCGTGGCATGATCGCAATGATATTTTCCAAAAGATTTACACATTTATCGTGAGTTGAATTTCAAGATAAAATAATAATTTATCCTGAAAATTTAACGAAAGGTCTACCTAAAAAATAAGGATGAACGTTAGAGACTGTGCAGCTGACAAAAGTGAAAAAATGTAAACAAACGCTAGTTTTCTCTATGTACATATGCAGGTTCAATTGATAGCCAACAAACTGTATGAAATACTTGTTTACAATGTAAATAAAATAATTATCATTTTACTTCCTTATTTTTTTTCGTTTTATACATGAAAAGCAAGTAGAGCAGACCTGTCATTTTATTATTTATGTACCGGTAGATATTATTGCGCCGTGTGATTAGGTCACGTATTGACCTCTGACCTCTGACAAACTTCATACAGAATTGAAGATATTTTTTCTCTGTATGTTTATGTAATAGAGAGATACCATAAATGTATATATATAAATGTGCAAGTCTTGAAACCAATACATGGAGATGTGTTTTTGTATAAAATGTTCAATTAAAATACGTGTAGTAAATATGTTATGTTCATTTGAGACATATAATCAGACCATTTTCTATATGTTACAATCACCATATCAAATTAACAGAGAAGAACTTAAAAGTATCATTAAATTCACTAATGATCAATTGGAGTTCTCTTTCAACATATAATTTCTATTTATAGAACATTACTATGAAAGATATTTAAAATCTTCATTTTCTCTTGAAGTAAATATTATGCAAGTATACCTTCTTTTCTGTAATAGATATTCACACTTTTTATGCTGTATGGTTTTCCAAGATCTACTTGAAACCAAGCCCTGTTTGTGTTTATAGAAGCAGTATGAGCACAATAATTTTCTGTGGTACTTCTATCACCATCATTTGCTCGTGATGCATTGTGGTATGTAGAACTTTGAGAGAGTGTTGTTGTAGATCTTCTGCTCAGATTTTCTGTAAGAATTATGAAACAAGTAGAGGAAAGGCATGGTTTGCACATAATTCTACTACGTACACGATTATTGCGGAGATCAAAGAAATGCTGCGAACATTATTCTCCAATAAATCACGAATGTCATCAAAATATTATCAGATCAGAAACACGTTTCAAACCTGTGCAGTTGAAATGTAGATTTACATAAGAGTGAAATACTTATTTAGACCACATTGAATGTGTTATTTTTTGCAATTTAAACACTTTATATTGCAGAAAGGAGCTGATGAATGTAGGTTTCTAAAGCCAAGTGAGCTGTTTTACGAACCTCCCTACGCCATATTTTAGTGATAAAGTGGTAAAATAGGGAATTGATTTTGTCATTGTATATTCAAAAAGATTAATATATATAAGCTACAAACAGATTTATAATTTAAAAAAGCTAAATTTTAATGCAGCGAAAGTACAAATCGTCTGCATTCTATTCACAGGTAAAAAAAAAAAATTATACTCTGATGCTTAATGGAACAGTGTTATTGCAGCATGGTGACCTAATTCGTTTCTCTAGAAAAAAAACACCGATCAGTCTTATTTTAGAGCTCCTAGTTCATGTAGTAGAATAGGAATAAAGTTCTTGTTGTCGTGAATGATGCAGAATAACCTCTTCAGTATCGAAATATTGTTTGAAATATAAAAGCCTCGGCTTTTATCTTTCACACAACATTTGTCGACCTCGGAGGTTATTCTGCAACATTCACGAAAACGCGGACTTTATTTCCTAAATGCATAGTGTATTGAAATTCTGGTAAGTATATACGTATAGTAAATATTTCTTTTAAGCGATTCATTACATTCACTATTTATCACATTCTATACAACTTTTTTTTTTTTACCCAAATGCAAATATTTAGTATATAAAACTTTTTAAAAAAAAATAAAATTGAAATAAAATTTTAATAAAGGGTTAATAAAAACGAATGTGGCATGAAATTTCCACTCATAGAGATGATATAGATATGGCAATTACAGGGATAAAACTATGATTTACCTCGTCAGACAATTACTTAAACCTTTGCCTCCGATGTGATAAAATGTTTTCAAAGCTACTATTTAGAGATAAAAAGAAATTATAATATGGTAATATGCTTGTATAAAACATACATGTAATACTTACTGTATCTTGTAAACAGTCCTTTAAGATGAACCTATTTTATGATATGCTATAGTTTACTTACGATAGCATTTTTTATAGTGATTCACTTATTTGTCTTTAATATAAATTAAGATTGTGTATAAATTATCATATACATGTATATCTCATCAATTACTGGTATTATATGCAGTATTTCCTAAATGTAAGATACCTGAAATGTACAAAATCTGTCCGGAGATAAAATTATTCACCCCAATTATTGCAAACACAGAAGGATATATGAATCAGATATCAGAAAAGGTCAAATAAAATTTCAGCTACATACCGTAACAGTGAGTAAATTCAAGTAACAAAACTATCCACACACACCCTAAGGCAGCCATATTAAAGGAGGGAAAAAATTATCGTTGTCAAAATCTGAGAAGCAGGTAAATCAAAACGACGGAAGTGTCAAATGACCTAAAAAGATAAATTGATTATTGTGAATATTTAACAATCAAACAGCATTATAAACACTTTATTATTTTTTTTATCTATGTATGTCGACAACTTGCCAGTGAACAGAAAAGTTTCGAAGAGGTTTTTACGAAACTATATAAAATGTATATCTATATATCTAATTTCGGTAAACATGTTTTACAAAGAAAGGTGATCATGATACATTTCAAACACTGAAAATCAAATTCTTTTAAAATGAAGACACATACATGTGTAATGATTTCGGAATTTTCAAGTTTGACCATGCGGAGTTCTCAATTAGTCTCTGTTCACACCACGTGACTTTAATTTTATATAAATACCGAGACTCCGCAATGATCAGGGGTAGTTCGTCGGATGCAGCCAAGGTTAGAAGACGAGTGTCGTGAATAATGTATTCACGTGTTATATTCCTCGCCTGTTTTACAGTTAGAGAGTGGATTTGGAAGGCCATCCCAGGTAAGGCCTGCCACAAACTTGGTTGACCTCTAACATAGAGGCTAGCCATAGTTTGTTGTGTCTCGTCTGCATTGGCTGACCAGCATACTCGTTGTCCGTCCTGAATAAGGCATCTTACAATGGGTGTAGTGGTTGAAGGGCTATCACATATACTGTCCGTCCTGAATAAGACATCCTACAGTATATGCGGTAGTCCGAGGGCGACTGGGCATCCTATATAAATTTTAGATCAGGACTCCCCATTTCATTTTGTTGATTGCCTCCTATTGTTACATTGATTCACCATTTGATTTTAATTTACCTAGATAAGGTTAGGACATATTTGTATATTTCGGCAGTCCACTAAGATCATACCAATCAATTTTGAATCATTTAATGTTGAACACCCCAAACCCTGGAAATTACCAGGTACGATCCCATTGATTTATTGTAAATACGTTACAAAATTTGGTGGCAGCGGTGGGATTTGGGGTTGCATTCAATCATTAAAGGTTTTTATATAGTGGTAAAAAAAATCTTTGTACATTTTGTATATAACTTTGAAGGTGTTATCTTTTTGTTAAGCCCTTATTCAGGTTAAGAATCATGTACATGCGGGGCGCATGTCATCGGAGGCATGAGTAGTGTAATGATTTCGGAATTTTCAAGTTTGACCATGCGGAGTTCTCAATTAGTCTCTGTTCACACCACGTGACTTTAATTTTGTATAAATATGGAGACTACGCAATGATCACGGGTAGTTCGTCGGATGCAGCCAAGGTTAGAAGACGAGTGTCGTGAATAATGTATTCACGTGTTATATTCCTCGCCTGTTTTACAGTTAGAGAGTGGATTTGGAAGGCCATCCCAGTTAAGGCCTGCCACAAACTAGGATGACCTACAATATAGAGGCTAGCCATAGTTTGTTGTGTCTGACGTCTGCGTGGGCTGACCTGGTCAGCCAATGCAGACGTGAGTCCGTCCAGGCTGCTATACTCATTGTCCGACCTTAATAAGACATCTTACAATGAGTTGTAGTGGTTGAAGGGCTATCACATATACTGTCCGTCCTGAATAAGGCATCCTACAGTATATGCGGTAGTCCGAGGGCGACTGGGCATCCTATATAAATTTTAGATCAGGACTCCCCATTTCATTTTGTTGATTGCCTCCGATTGTTACATTGATTCACCATTTGATTTTAGTTTACCTAGATAAGGTTAGGACATATTTGTATATTTCGGCAGTCCACTAAGATCATACCAATTATTTTGAATCATTTAATGTTGAACACCCCAAACCCTGGAAATAACCAGGTACGATCCCAGTGATTTATTGTAAATACGTTACACATGCATCAGGTCAGAAATTAGTCATATACGAGGAATACATTAAATTATGTCTTTTTCTGCAAATTTGCGATAAAACTAAGAGGTCCATGGCTAACAACACTCATCTGGCCCTACTGTTCTTCACCTGATATACCTATAGCGATCCCGCCCTATCCCCAGACATTTTGATTTAAATAATTTAGAATTTACACAACTCTAGGATGCTTTTAAATGTAGTTTCATTTTTTTGGCCCAATTTGTTCTTTAAAAGAATTTTTAAAAATAGTTCCATGTGCACGTGTATATTAATGTAGAACTTATAATTAGATTCTCTAATGTGACCTCATCCTAACCCCGGGAATAGGATAGTATTTGATCAATTAACTGAACCCCATTATGTTTTCTCGTAAATTAAGCTTTTCTAGCTCAGTGGTTTGAGCGACAAAGATTTTTTCCTAATAACATATATCATAGTTAAATTTGGATCTTTAAATCTGGCTCCGCGCGCCCTACCCATGGGGATCACGATTTGAATAATTATGAATCATACTACTTCAGGATTCATCAACAGCTTTTTGGTCAAGTGGATATCAAGTACATTTTAAAGATTTTCCTTAAATATTTCAATTGGAAATTTGGATTCGCTTTTATGGCCCCGACCTACCACTTGGTTTATGATTTTGATAATTTTGAATCTACACTACCCATGATGCTTCCATATATAATTTTCAGCTTTTTTAATTAGAGGTTATGGAGAAGAGGATGATAACCACACCCTATTTTTGTCTATTCTTAATTATATTCCTTTGCAAAGTAGTTTTGCTCTTAATTCTAAAAATTCAAACTTTTGTTTTCAAAGGATACATTGTTCCAATTTTGTTTTAAAAAAAAATTGACCCTATGCCTCTTGAGAAGAAGTTGAAAGGTTGAAAAATTTTATAGTTGGGCGGACAGAGAGACAGAGTGAATAATTCGCTGGATGCTCAGGAAATTTGTCTCTCCACGGAGGTGTATTTACAAATATATGCAGAATATGTTCCTTGAATTATCTCTGAGAAAAAATTTGTTTCTAAAAATGAATTTACGAGAAAAATATCGTATTTTTTTTTAAATGGAAAACGAACGTAAACAAATTGAATTCATTCACTATAATATTTAAACATTAATTTACATATTAAATCTTTGAACGCAATCATTTTCAAATTTGCCCTGTGCCCAGGCTTTGCACATACCATTTCATTTTGTAAGTCGAATTTTTCAGTCGGCAAGCACAGTGTTGACGCTGATAACAGATATAAAAGAAAATATTAAATAGAAACATTCCATTTACATGTACATATATGTTTTTGTATATATTATCATAAAAGGGATGATAATGAACATTTTGCCAGTGCATTTCCACTGAAAGTGTAAATGAGTGCAATTCAGGGGAAGGGGTACAACAGGTATTTCGGGGTAGGAACCTTGTATTAACGTACACTATCGGTTTAAAAAAATATATTAGAAACAAGTGCATGCGTCTAAAACATTATAAAAAGTGAATAACCTGCCAAAAAAAAATGCAGAATCACGGTACATGTATATTACATTGTATTTGTAAGATAACTTTATCAATTTGCAACATGTGTAGGTCACCTGAGATAAAAATCCTCATGATCAGTTAAAAGTAGTTTTTAATTATTAACTTCCTCAATCATTTTCGAAGTTCTATCTGCAGGGTTAGGGACACATTTGAGAAGAGGTCCTTATGTTAAGTATTATTCACACGACAAAGATGTATTTAACATGTAAATACATGTTTATATAATATATTTCCATTTCAAGGTGATAGAATGGTACAAAATAAGAAAATACCCCAATCTCTAAAAAATAAATGTTAAAAGGACATTTTATTTTATTTTCAATTTCCTATAAAAGAAAGAGGGCGTATAAGGCGTGGACAATCCCCCACTCTGAGACAAAATGTTTCTCAATTTTCAGAATTCACAGAAAAGTTATATTTTTCTAAAATCATGTTCTCAGTAATGTCATCTTCAATGCATTTTATCATTTTTTTACTGGACGACTTATCATTTAATCTTCATTTCAAAGTTGACAGTTAAACATGGAAAACGGGTTTACTAGAGCTACATGTATAAAAAATGAATTTTGAACATGAATGGGTCAAGTCTCCATTCTTCGTTGACGCTTAAATTATGGGAACGTTAATGTGAAATGTATTTCATTTGTCCAAAAAATGGAATCTGAACCCATTCTATATGAAAATCAAAAATTTCTTGAGAAAATGCATGCTTCAAGAAACCCCTTTCATTTAAATCACACTGAGAGACGTCGGTAATGCATACACTAGACAAAATTGCTAACGCCCCACCTAAGAGAATTAATATTTTAATTTAAAAAACCTGAATATGATGCATTTGATATATGAATATGTTACTTTAGCAAAAAAATAAGGCATATTAATTTCAAACCTTTTAAATAACTTCAATGTTTATTGAAGTGTGACCAATTCATTCAAAAAGATAAAATCGTGTCTTTTCCATTTTTGAAGAATCCTTTCCCTTTGTACTAATTGAAAACATGGAAAAAAGTTACATCGTATGCGGCGTTTGACGCTAAAAGAGTGTGTAAAAAGCAGACAGGATGGCGTGTACAGGGGGTTCCTCTAGAAAAATCTGTAAAAACTAAAACAAAATAAGAAGTTTATGAATTCAACTCATGAAAATTTGTTCCAAATAGATAAATATACATAAAAATGTTATTTATAGAAAACCACGGCATTAAGTTATTAGCATACAATAAGTTGAAAATTGTTCCACAAAACTGGGTCAACCGGAAGTGGAGTGGATTTGGTTTGGACACTAAGGTATCAGATGATTACTAGGAGTTCTGAGAGTCAATAACTGTTTTTATTTGATTTTCAACTGGGGGACTACTCCTGTGGCAATCTCAAAGACCCCTTTAGTGATCAAGAATTTCATATCTGTGCAAAATGGTGCGCAGTGCACGGGTGGAAATTGGTTTACGGACAAAAAAGGTCATTCAAGGATTTTTTTTATGATGCCAAGACCATTGTCAATCCCAATGCTTTTGAA